ACAGGCATGCACCACCATGCCCAGCTAATTTTTTGTTTTTTTTTTAGTAGAGACGGGGTTTCACCATGTTGACCAGGATGGTCTCGATCTCTTGACCTCGTGATCCACCTGCCTCAGCCTCCCAAAGTGCTGGGATTACAGGCTTGAGCCACCGCGCCCGGCGAGAGTTTCTTTATTCTTTTTTGCAGCTGCATAGTATTCCATTGTGTTGATTTAATTTAACCTGTTTTGTATTGATGGACATGCAGTTTGTTTCTAGTCTTTTACATTTACAAACATGCTGCAGCCAGCGAATAGTTTTGCATATATGCTAGTTCACATATCTGTAGGATCGTATCCCCAAGTGGCATTGTAAGTATCTTAAAATGTCTGTCCTTTTCTCCAGGCCAAAGGATGCCATTAGAGCCCTAAAGAAGCGGCTCAACGGGAACCGGAACTACAGAGAGGTGATGCTGGCATTAACAGTGAGTGCTACTCTCCTTGGGGAGGGAAGGCATCTGGGGGACTCCTTGCTTCTAGCCTTGCCCCCGTCATAGAGCCTTCCTTCTGCCCACTCAGCACAACCTCAGAATGGCTTGGTGCCTGGGCCACTGGAATTCAGCAAAGCCTTCTGGTATTGCCTTTGGGTTTTCCTGTCCTCTGAAACAGGGAATGAGCTTCAATTTGGTGAATGTATATCCGTAAAAGATAAGGTGTGTGCAGTGCCGTCAGTTACAAAAGTCCAGAGCAGAGGAGCTAAAGGTCTGGAGTAGGTCACTTTTCAGCCAGCAACCTGCTCTGAGACTGAGACCAACTCCTTCTCTAGATGTCAGTTTCCTCTTTATAAAAATGTTGACCGGGTGTAGTGGCTCACACTTGTAATCCCAGCACTTTAGGAGGCCGAGGTGGGTGGATCACAAGGTCAGGAGTTTGAGACCAGCCTGGCCAATACGGTGAAACTTTGTCTCTACTAAAAATATAAAAAATTAGCCGGGTATGGTGGTGCGTGCCTGTAGTCCCAGCTACTTGGGAGGCTGAGGCAGGAGAATCGCTTGAACCTGGGAGGCAGAGGCTACAGTGAGCCAAAATCATACCGTTGTACTCCAGCCTGGCGACAGAGGGAGACTCCGTCTCAAAAAAAAAAAAAAAAAAAAGTTAACTTCCACCTGTTGAGTACCGGCCTGGGACTGTGCTGAGCTTTTTGGACAGTAATGCAGATGTTTACAACCACCCTCCAAAAGATATTTCACTATGCCCCTCATACAGATGAGGAAACTGAGGCTCAGAGAGGTCTGGAGGTTTACCCAGCCTTCACAGCTAGTGAGGTACCAAGCTGTGGATTGCCATCATAAAGCAGTCTTTTGCATGGGGTAAAAACTGAAAATAGCTACAAAGACTCTTGAAAAAGTCAGCCAAGTGACTTTTTTCAGGAAGGAACAGACCAGATTTTTGCCCTTACCAAAGCTGTCAGAGAATTTAAAAAGACGGCTTCAGGTGTTATTTCTGTCTTAAGAGCTAACAGTTTTTCAGATGTGACAAAATCTGGGCCACAGTAAGTTCTTAAAATAGAAACTGTAACAGGTCACCAGGTCAACGTCTCTGGGGCTTGGAAATAGTAGGTTATTTATCCAAAACAGCCATGTTTCCTTTTAAAGCACAGAGCCTGTTTGGATTTTTTGCCCAAGTGAAACCCCGAAACTTATTAAGAGAGCTCTGCCAGGGAATTGGGATTTGAATAATAGAGAAAAGACTGGTTAAGAAATAGAGAGTTGAAGCTTTTATTTTTATTTTTTCTCAGAATTTGAACCACAGCATTGACTAAACCAGGAGTGATGCCCAAAATGAATGGCTTTCAATAACTCATATCACCAGGGAATGAGCCCTAATGTATATGTCAGGGCATGCTACTGCTATCTAAAATTTCTGTATTTACACACCCAACTTCATGGTCATTGTGCTGGATGGAAATCTTTCCAAGTGAACTCTGGGTTTACTTGCCTTCCTCTAGCAGGGCACGATGGACACTGTTTGACCTTTCCTGCAGATTGGGTCTTCACTACAAACCCAGCCATGCCTTTAGGAGGCCTGTGAAATGCACAGAGCTGCCGTCCCTACCCTGAGGCCCCATCCTAGTGCACTTTGCGTGGTCTCCTGTCTCCTGCTAGGGCTTCACTTACCCTGTTAGTCGCTTTCAGTCCTCCTGTCTCTTGCGGCCCTTTCCTGACTTCATATCTGTACCCACCAAGCTTGTTAATATTTACCCAAAATAAGTTAGTAAGAAGCCCCGAGGGCCTCTCTGCTTGTGGACTTAAAACATCATTTGTGGACTTAAAACATCATTTCTGATTGCTTAGAAGATCCTTTTGGTTTCACTATGGGTTTTGGCTTCATTCTGGAAAATTACAACTGTATGTTTCATGCCTTTCAACCCATAGGGACAAATCCGTTAGGGTCGTGTTTGGCAGGGTGGCCTAAATAGCTCTTGCCAGCCCAAAGAGAACGTCCTGTACCTCCTGCTAAGATAGGCTTTGGGACTGCTCTGTGGCGTATGCATCTCTGTCCAGGACACTTCCAAGGCCAGGCTGGGACACACTGACCTTGAGGACTGCTGTGCTGGAGAAGCTAAGCATGAGTTTCCTAAAGGTGGGAAGCGGCTCCTGCCCACTGCTGCTCTCAGAGTGGAGTAGAGCCCCAGGCTGCCCTGCCCCTCAGACCTATGCCTCTTTTTCCAATTCTCTTTCCCACTCGCAGCCTTGCCTTTCCCACCTGCTTCTCATGAAATAAAGTATACTTCTTGCCATCTGCCCTGACCCCAACAGCCCACTGCCTGAGTTGGGAGAAAGATTTTAGAGAATCCTAGAGAGAAAGGTTCCTATAAGTCCCTTGAGGGCAGAAAGAACCCCTCTAGTTCATCTCAATGCCCTCATGGATCACTGTGAGACAGTGAATGCCAATTACCACATGGTTACCAGAATCAGGCACAAGCAGACTCGGACAGGAAAATGCCTCCTTGGCTCAGTAAAATCTATGGTTGCTCAGAGGCCCTGGGGTGCTGAGCTCCAGCATCTTCCTTGGCAAGCCCAGAGGAACCTGTTGCTTCCTAAGGTGCAGCCTGCAGGGGGGCAAGAAGCGATTCTGGCTGGCTGCAGAGCTGCACGGCATAGGGAGGCCCAGCTTTGGCCTCCTGGGTTAAGTTTCATGGCACCCCTTATCCTCAGTTTCCTCGTCTCTAAAATGGGATGATTCCCACCTTACAGGGTTATTTCCAGGACCAAATGAGGGAACAAGAAATCTAACACATGTTGCTTGTCATCTGAGGTACTCTCAGCTGATGTGGCTGCCTGGAGGAGATCTGTGAGGGAGGGAGGGAGGGCTCTGTGGCTTCGAGGAAGCTGATCACAGCTCCTGTGCTGTTTCTGACACTGACTGACAGTTTGTACCCAGACCAATGTCTTCACCTTTCTAAACCTCTTAACTCTAAAACATGGAATATTAAGGTCCATTTAAGGAGAAGTAATTAGCTGTGAGAATTGGATAAAATTACATATGGTATGGAAGAATCTCTCATAGTGCCTGGCACATAGCTGCATTCAGTCAATGTTCCAGTTATGGACTTTTCTTTACAGCTATGATTTGTCCAGGTAGAGCCCAGTTGCATGAACCCAACCCTGTGGGATGGCTGCAGAAGTCAATCAGTGGTTGGATTAGTTTGGGCAAATGAGAATAACCAAGGTAGTCAGAAATGTTCCCTGTTACTGGTGATGTGGTTTTGAGGAGGCATTCTCCAATTAGTAGACTGTGGCCTGGGGGCTGGTGGCATGGGAAGGGCCCCAATCCTATGGATTGGTTTAGAGAGTGCTGGAAAGTTCAGAGAGCTCCTCCCAGTTGGTACCTCCAAATTCCAAGAGGCTACACACCTGTCCTATGGGAGAATAAGAGGCCACCCCCTTCCTCGTGTGTACAGCAGCCTTCTGAATAATAATGATGTAATCATGATCATCATTTATTGGGTACCTCCCCTATGCATGATTTTTTGCT